ATGAGCTCGCTTTCAAACTTCCTCCACCAAGAGGCATTCATTTTTTAATATGTCTTACTCGCTCTCGCTGTAATCTTAAACATGACTGAAATCTTTTTACGTCCATGAATTACAATAACTTCAGAGGTGGAGGGACAAACTTGTATTGCCCCTTCTTGATGAATGGAACTTTTAGTCTATGTCTCCAGAAGTTTTGTGAATGATGTCTTGTTGGGGAGGAGAAACAGAGTATGTCAAGATGAGTATTCCTTTGAGTGCATATAGTTTGAAGACAGTGATGGAAGTGATCTGCTAGATGCACACCTCCTTATAAATATGAAGCCATAATCCCTGCTTTATCAAACCACTACTAAAGTTTCAAGAGGGAACAAATGGTACCTTTTATGCCTCATTGCTTATCAGTCATTGAAGGGAAATAGCAAAACTTTTGCTTGGAATGCTAGTTTTCCATTAGTTTATAGTCTTGGTAACTGGGGGAAAAAATGAAAGTGCTTCCCTTTTTTCTTTTTCACTTGGTAAGTCTAGACATTGGCATGTTGTCTAGAAGTTACAGGGGCAAAGATTGTCAGTGTACTTTGCCTTGTCAGGTATTTGTAGTATGCATATCTCAGAAAGTGACTGGAATGGAATTGATTTCTTAAACTTCCCCTAATTAATATGTATTTTTTACCGTAGACAAAGTGTAGAGGGGACTGTGGTCCTATTAAAATTATAGGAACCACTATTTCCTATATGAAAGTCCGGAAAGGGAAATCTTCAAATCAGTCTCTGTATGCAGCAGACCGCGGCTCTGAGGATGAGTAAGTAGATGCTTCTGTGGATGCCAAGCTTTTAACAGTGAGGAGCCTCCATTTTCTGATCAGGATTTCCTCTCCTCAGCTTCATGCTGCAGTAGCAATCTGCACTTCAGCAACTCATGGGGATGTCATTCTGAGATGTTACTTAGAATATTGCTGGACCTGTGAAGCGTGTGGTTTCCAAGAAGGACTGAGACGCTCAAACTGAGCAGGTAGCTGTAACCTAGATTCCTGTGCCTGTTGTGAGTTTAGTATGCCCTCCCAGGGAAATGGCAGGGGCATGCCAGTCAGCCTATCTCAGGGGTAGGCAACCTTTCCCCTTTAAGGG